GTCACCCCCATGTGTCAGGTCACTGAGCTATTGGTCAGCTGTAGAATATTGTTCTCCGCTTCAGTGAAAACGGATGCACTGCACACGCGAGTGCCCAACAATGCAGAAGCATAGATACTGATGTTTAATGAAAACAGGCAAAGGCTGCTGAGTGGGTCTTAAAGCAGTGAAGGCGTATGCAGTGCCAGGAGGTTTTGCAGTGTTCAATTTTCGGTTTGCTCCATTGCTCAAGGAGTCCAAACGTTTTCTGGCAAACAAATTTGCTTAGGACTGCAACACTGCATTTTTTATTTAATTTTTGAAGAATCAAATACTCCTCGAAGTCTGAGAGGCCACAACAATCGTGGTTCGCTACCTCGGACCGGAAGGTCATGCTTGAGAGTGTTGATGGAATTGGACGGGAAGTTGACCTGGGTCACTTTGCGCCCGAAATGAACCTATTTAGTCTTGCCCTGGAAGTAAGGACAGAACCACGCACGTGACATTGACTTGAGTTTCAAATGAATTATAGATGATCGGGGTGGAAGACGCGCATCCAAACATCGGGTTGAGGTCCCTTTCAGCTCTAAATGTAAAGTGGATTTGTCTCATCGCTGCTCATCCGATGTCGGATGTGTCCATCAACTTTAGGAAGTCAGGGCTTCGGCGGGTGTTTTGACAGCACACTGCCGTTTATCGAGAAGAAATTAAAAACACTATTTTTTTCTACCAAGCTTACGTACGTTTCGGTGTTTTGTTAGGAAGTATGGCTGATTGAGATTCTTACATTAGGCCGAACTGGTAAGCTCCAAGAAGGGGTCATCCAGAAGAGTAGAACACCTAACCTGCAGCTGTACAGTTCTTGATTTCAGCGCAGGTCAACTTGACTTGCAGGAAGAAGTCGCCAAATCCTTTCACAAAACCGATAACCAGTAAGCAGATGAGGGGGAGGAATGGTTTCACAAGATGAATGAAACTGCCATCTGAGAAGTCACCGCTCCAGCAGTCCGTCAACGTGATCACGTGATTTAGATTCCGTAATCGAAGGATGAGTGCTGCTGTGTCCTGTCTAAGTGCGAATGAACCACACTATTGATCAAATGAATGATCGTCCCCGAAGTTTTTGGTTTTTAACTACTAACCGGTAGGTCACGGGTTCGAAGCTATCCATCGGCGCAATGCCGATAACTTCAAATAAGGATGGAACTGCTGTACAGTCCTTCTCGGCTCTTCGGCAGAGAACGGTTTTGCTCGTTGGCGAAACCCTAATTATTGGTACGACGAGAAAATATTAACAAAAACCAAAATGTTTTGAATATGCATACACCTAAAACTACATGTGGATCATCCAACACCAGTTGGTCATTAGATGACAAGTGGCGTCAGCTAAACTCTACAACTAAGGTCTCAAATTAGATATCCCGCAAAAGAGCAGAAATATGCATTTTGTAGAAGAGGGAAATCGTTGACAGGGTTCAATACACAGCAAAGGTCGTACGGAAATCCCCCAAAGACTTGCGTGACTTAGCTGGGAGAATGAAGCAGTAACCACGCTGCAAAAGAGGTAGAACATCTGAAAAGAACATTTCAGTCTTTCTCAAAGGACGCAGTGAGGGGGAATGATTTGGAGGGGGTCTTTATTTGTACAAAGTTATTCTTTGATTCGCTTTTTTCCTCCGAGACTTACACACAATTAGTGCACAGGTGACGATAGCCATAATACAAATCAGAAGGGGAATGTGCACTAATAAAAGCTTTTAGTATTTCTGCGACACGTATAAAAATAAATACAATGTGAAATGGGAGCAAGTCAAAAAGGGAACTTATCGGATGCGAGAGTCCCTTGGTGGAAGTCCGGACGGCGGGAACTTTCACGGCCCTGTTTTATACCCCCTGTTCTGTGGACGTAGAAGTATGACACCTTTTATCCATTACAGCATCTTACTAAGGTTAGGCTAGAACACTATCACATAACATTGAGTCGTTTCACTAATGGTCCCTTGTTTATCTCTAAACCAAGAGTTTGCATATAGTGACCTTTCATCAGTGTGCAAATAAGTGCGTTGTGTAGTGCCCTGTCAACAGATGATTCGAAGACGAGCCACTTTTTGTCCGTGCAAAGTTGTGGGAACTAGACGCAGTTTGTTCGTCACGTGATCTAATCTGCAGCGACTATTCATGCATGCTGTTGAAACACACGAACTTTTTTGTGACTCAATACCTACTTTTAAGGATGAAACAAGTGAAACAAGTTGGGGAATGTAAAAGGGGTTTCATTCTCTTACACAGAATGATTATGGCAAATTTTGCGCACAAACTCTGCAAGTGGGCAGGCTTTAATGCGTTGGCCAACATCAGATACGATAAGACTGAGTTTCAACGATGCTCGACTTGAAAAATCAGTTAAAATGTTTGGGGATTACAGCTAATGGAGACAGTAAGATGGTTAATCGGTAATCATGGTCGGTCGTTGAGTGCGTCTGGTGAAAACAGGTGTGGTTCACAACCACCCGTGAGGGGTACGAACGTGACACTTACAGCTTACTGGTCGAAGAGATTTCAGGCCCTTATCTGTTTAACCGTAACACTAAAAACCATCAGTTTTATACCTTATAGGTGGATAGGTAACGGCAAAATTTTTTAACAGCGATACAAGTGAATTTTCGATGCGTGTCGCGCATCACATCCGATCTCTCTGTCTCACGTGCTATGTTACAATCCACATGCTGTTGATCATGAAACATACACTCGCAAAAAGTTTGAGACTTGTGAAAACGTTTCTCAAAACATCTGTCTAGTTATTTGAGACAGGCGACAAATAGATCGACGGATGCCCTGAAAGCTGAGACCCAAAAATCTGCCTTATCGATCGCCAGATACATGCTATCCACTAGACACAGAGTTGACCCCAATACAACATTCAGAATTGCACCGTGTCAACTCAANCAATCATGAAACACTCGCAAAAAGATTGAGACTTGTGAAAACGTTTCTCAAAACATCTGTCTAGTTATTTGAGACAGGCGACAAATAGATCGACGGATGCCCTGAAAGCTGAGACCCAAAAATCTGCCTTATCGATCGCCAGATACATACTATCCACTAGACACAGAGTTGACCCCAATACAACATTCAGAATTGCACCGTGTCAACTCAAAACTGCTAGCTTTCATTGAAGTCATGTTACTCAATCAGTGCCTACGCAAGTTTAAAATGTTTCACATCAGTATTTTTGGCGAAAACATGAAGAAATGCAGTTAAGCGGATTTGTCAACGCGACACACTGCAATTTAGTGTAAAAACCGGCATTTCGGCGTGGCACATGAAGTATACAGGGATTTGGGACGGCTTTTAAAGGCCCAATCTCGCGAGAACGTGCCACAAAAATGTTGAAAGCGGGTAACCAAAATTTCAAAAAGTCGCATGAGCTATAACATGAATGCGAAAATATGGGTACAGTTGTCAACGGAGGTCTCCGCAGCCGGACACGGGATCCACGTACTTTGCATTCGATCTGTGTTTGAAGAACTAAGTGGCATCCTTCAAATCTACCTATTTCAAGACAAGAAGATGCAACATTTAGACGCCTCCTACGGGATGATCAGTTCGAAGTTGCGCAATTTATCCAAAGAAAGTTGATCACAAGCATTTGTCTTACTTGTCAGCCTTCCTGTCACCTTCCTGCTTCGTCAGTAGTGGAATCAGCTAGCCTTTTGCCTCTAACTGTAGAGTGGAGTGTGTTAAATTACGACATAGAATTCATCCCTCACGATCACCGACAGCTCAATATCAGGGTTCGTCCTTGGGGCTTCACTCTACTTGAAAGCCTTATATAGAAGAAGAGAATAAAATTGAATGAGGACTTGACTGCTGGCTTATCACAACCAATCCGAGGTACCTACACTTCCAGACACTCGTTCAGAAACTGTGGATAGAAACTGACAATAAGAAAGCCGTCGTATCCTGCAGCACCTTCAATGTCGCACAGAAGCTATCACCTGGACTGCATCCTGGAAGACGAGTCTCAATGGCAGTGCCCAGAGTTTTCGTAATCCCTATTTTATCCATATGCCTGGTCAAATGTTGACCATCTTTTTGCTTGTGCCATGCACAATACACCTTACTGATTATCATTACCCGAAATGGCCAAAAAAGATGTAATATTCTTGTTATACCGGCATTCATTTAGTTCACACTGGTTTGAACGTGACTATATTATCAGCAGCCAGCTACGATTAGCATAAACCGTGAATCGTGAGCTTATCACACTGTCTCATGCTTCATACGCTTAGCTAGTTTCAGCGGTTTGACAGCAATTTCAGAAAGCTCCCATTTGTGCGGTAGTAAAGCGAAAAAAGGTAACCCACATTTGAGTTTTTTGCATACATGGATGTACAGGATGACCAAAGATATCGATGAACTGAACTTTTGGGGATAAATGAGACCTGAATCTCTGCCATCCGTATGTTCTCACCATACAAGACAAAGGTGTTGCTGCTTAACCAATAACCTTGTCTATCATATGATTGAAAAATTGGACCAGCTAGATTAACAAAGTCTACTCATTTCACTTTGATTCGTGCCATTTTGTGTTTATCAGTTACACGTCACAGGTTAGTAGTGAATGACTTAATAACTATACTACGTCCCCTGGTTACCAGCCTATTCGTTTTCTGAGAGTCTGACCCACATATTCCCAAAGTTCATTGTTTAAACCATCGTTTTATGCTACAAATGAGGTCAACTTATCTCGAAATGTCGATAAGAGTTATAGAGTCGTCCCAACGGTGTTGTGAATAATCAACAGTTAGCATCTCACGATTGGGAGATCCGAACGCGCAACCTCACGCCTAACTGCATTCAGACAGTTTTGGGAAGGTTACTCCCAAGAAGAGCTATGCACCGTTGAAGAATTTAATTGGCCATCATATTTGCTGCACGCCGATTGGTTGATAATTACGCTTTAAATAGGTTGGTTCAGGAGTCCCAACCATAACGTCCAGACATATAACTAGGTTTCTAAACAGCAAAGAGAACAGTACGGGAATAGTTCGTCGAAATTCTGCAAAGCTGTTTGGAAAACAAAACAGTGATTGATGGTGAGTATCAGCCGTTTTATCCATTCTTATGATTGCGCATGCATGGAAACCGCGAATATCTGCAACAGGGAAAAAGTGGTTTTTTGATTCGATAATTCAAGCAAGTGAAATTATACGGAAACAACGCGACGATCCTTACAATGAAGTTAGGCGTGGGTAGAGCCTATTTCTCACTAATTTATACAATCATTTGTTCTTTGATTTACTGGAAAGTTGGTCTACGGCTACCTTGAACTCGTAGGTTGGAAGCGGCCACTTCAGATGAATGATCCCAACGTTATTAGCAATTCTCAGTTGCCCTCCTTTGAAGTAAAACAGAAAAGAGTCAGTCACACCAATCACATCGCCCAAGCGTGAATACGTTCGTCTGTTCAGACGTGAAAATTCAGATGCATCCTAAGTGCTTTGATGCAGTAGTGGTGACACTCGCCTCGCACGTCAGATGTCCGGGGTTCAAATCCTGGCACGGTCATTGGATATGCAGTACTGATGAGCTCTAATAAGAGAAAAACTCGAGTCCAGTGCTTCATCCTTTGGTGTGAACTCACCGGAATAATTACGCCAAAACAGGAGGGCGATCGCTCAAATGAGAGCGGTGTGAATATGAATGCAGCAGAACACATGGCTCGTTGGTCATCGAGCAAGTGGAGGTAGGGAATAACTTCTTGCCGTCGGATGGATGACAACACTTCACAAGGAACCAAAACGAACCATCATGGAAAGGGTCGACTGGAATAGTTTATCCCCAGAGGTAGTTCTTGAGCTAATTACTTAGTAGCGGAATTAACTTAGGTTAAACCTGGTCGGTCAGGTAGAATGATGACTGATAATCAGCAGTACGTACGAATGCTATAGTTTCACAATTGGAACCCAAGTTGACCTTTCAAGCAGAGCAGACTGATGGATCAATACACTGGCCACCGGTCTACAAGCTTATCTCGATGCTGTCGCAATTGATCTGGAGCATTTTGAAAGTTTGACGAGATGCCGCAGAAAAATGGAATCCTGTTTTTTTCATCTATTTATATAACATCCGATGTGTCCGTAGCTAGGGTGTTCGACGGTTCTGGTTCTCTCGCGTGGTTTGTGTCCACGACAGCTTTTACAAAGTACTACTCAAACGGTGAAAACAGGCAGGATCTGTTCTCACTCAAAGAGAAAATAAACGAAACCGGGAATTTTTTGCGGCATTTATTACACTAAAAATAGCCAGGCAACATTTAGAGTATTGTTGCCTAGCACCTACGATATCAATGTCCGGTTTCTCACGCCAGCGGAGACACACGCACCAAATATCATACATGTCCTTCATGAGACAAAACTTGTCTATCCAAACTGTTTTTAATCTGCAATTTAATTTGGTGAGGATTACTGACGGTTACAGAAGACATGTGCTAATTGCTTCGTTTGCAAAGACAATTGAATAAATACCCAGTTAGTCGCAACGTGTTTCTAAGAGAAAAACTTGCATGGAATCGAAAATTTCACTTTTATCACGCTTTTCAATGGCAAAAATTTCAAACACACAGTTCCAATTAATCAGTGAGGGCTAACATACCTGTCGGATAGTCGGATAACTAAGTGAAACCATCCTGAATTCGAATTATGCTTCTTTGATTTACTGGGTTTATTTTTGGACTGCAAAAATATGTAAACAAACTTAATTTATGCGAAACTCGAGGAGCAATTTGATTTTTCCTGAAGAAACAATTCAAAGCCTTTTTAGCCAGGGCCTTGTTGCATGTTTCCTGCACTGAGGTAACAAACGTTACTTGTTCTGGATCCGTTTGGGATGGAATTTTTAAATTTTGTTTGAACTAACAGTTCCAAGTATTAGTAGTATGGTGAACCTGTACTATGTTCGTCGATTCTGGTCGTCGATGCCCCTGCGAATCAGTGTATTCCAATCAAAAAAAATTGAAACACTTACCTTCATGTTACAGCAAGAACAATGCAAACCGTTGGAAACCTGATAATAATTATGCTTTAGCTGAGTCAATTCAGGTGAATTCAGGAAATGCGCGCATATTTGTCACACATTGGTGTTTGTGGCCCATTTTCCAAAGGAAAATATTCCACCAACAACTAGCGAATGAAAAAATCCGTATTCTACAAATGACCCGCTCCGTGGAGGAAGGTTTCCTCAAGTGATTGTTTTGTACTGTTGGTCTTTTGACTGGTTCATTCACATTCTGTCACAAAAGTCTTGTGATAATTCGTAGATTGTTTCGATCTCCGTGCTGCACAATCGTGGTCACATATGTGGATTTCACGTCTACTTGTGATATTGGCGGTTTGCTCGTTTGACCTTCAAGTGGTACTGTCATGATTCACGCTAGATGGTGTTTGAATAATGGTCAATTATCGATTTTTTAGGATGTCCGTCCACTAGTCTTGACAGTTGCTCAGAATGTTGGCGTTGTTTGATCTGGTAAGATTGCATGCCTAACAGCTCTAATTCTAAATAAAATAGCAAAATCTTCGATTGGCACACGAATAACAGCATAGAATGTTCGCGAGCAAATCGTTCCACATCTGACTGGTTTGACCGTACATTGAGATGATGGTGACAGGAGGATCACGTGCCAAGCACAAACGACCGACTGAAGGTTCTTACGAGAGAAAAAGGGAATCACTGAGCTTCGTAACTGCATTCATTGTTAATCTAAGTTTAAAAACGTTTCTTATTTACATGCGCCTCCCTAGAGTCACAGGCTCATTGGCTAGTCACTGAAAGCAGAGATACTTTGGGCAAGTGGAACAGTGTAAGGTTTACAAAACGTAATCTGATTGTTAGGTCATATGTCTTCTGAATTCTTTGAATGACGTGAGGAGCAGTTCCCTCATAACCACGCACTACCTTGTGTTAAACATTCAGCGTAATACTGAAATGTACCGATTTGATCATGGCCAATCGAATTCCTTTAGGAAAGCATGTCGAGATGAGCAGATTGAAAAAATGTGCGCTACTGAAGAAGTGTAGAGTTGAATTTCACATGCACATATGAGTGCTCCAAGAAATCCGGCGACCCAGCAAAGTGGTTCGTTCTTCTTGAGCATGGGAGGGTAGATATCAAAAATTACAATGGAAACCTGAATTATATTGCGACAGTATGTATAATGAGGCTAAGACCACCTGGCTCAAATTTAAAGCGCTTTCAAAGTTTCCCCTCTGAATTAACACGATCGTTTTCCGAAACAGCACTTTTCCGTCCCGAAAGCGGTGATTTCTTCCATGGCGATCGTTTCCTTGTTTTGCTAACATGCGTTCAAACGTGAGATTTTTAGGCAAGCCAGACCAATAGTTTACCTGTTAGTGCGATTCTATTACTCAAATTATTCATGGCTACCGATCCTCGCGGAGGTTATGAGCGCTTAAGAATGGAGGGAGTCATCATAATGTAATGTTTTATTCGGTCCCTAAACACTCAGACGCACGAGTCCTTTTGTCCTCAATGAGGCTTATCAGACTGATCCAGGACACGTCACGTGACATCATTGCTAGAGTTTTCGGGTTATCAACCAGAGAAATGCGCAACCATCTAACGATTTGCGCAGCCAGGTAACATGAATAAGGTGTGACCTGGAGGTCTACCACCTTTTGACTAGAATTTGCTGATTTATCCGACCAAAACGATAGATTCCATACACATTTTGAATAATTTCACAGAACTCGAGTGAAAATTCCTGACTTTCCGTCACACATAAGCTTCGAAACAATGAGACATGAATTTTCATGTGGTTTGCTTAACATAGTTAAGTCACTTCTGTTGATTCGTTCAGACACTGACTACTGATAACTAATCAGACTGGATAGTCAGTTGAATGAACACTAAATATCAGTTCTCTGATTAAACGTTCGTTTAGTTACTTCAAGCAGTTTTACGGCTGTGGAGTAATTTCCACTTGATTTATTGCTCACCGAGTGAAATAAACTGTTATCCGAACGCTTCACAATTGTTCCCGTGTTATTTCAGTAGAGGACTCATTTTTTCCTGCTCAGATTTTTCGAAAATTTAGACCGTTCGTGGTGGTGGCAAGGAAACCTGTGCCGGGATCCTTTATGTCACTTGATAAGTAACTCAGTTTTTTTTGTGACTACTAATCTCACAGATAGATCTCAAAATTTTAAGTCATCTTATAACAATAGGACTTGCAGTACGTTGACGATTTTATAATAAATTTCGGCATCGTTGACCAAACCACTCACGCTCACACCACTTTCGTTTAAATAGTTGTCTTCCTGATCTGGTGCACTATTTCTGGCGGGTCGACACCAAACGGGGGGGGGTGAGTTTTGCTCATCAGCAGTGCAAATCATTGGTCGTGTCGGAATTTGAACTTCGGCCCCATTTAATTGAAAAATATTCGGCGTTTATAGGGTGTGTGGTGTGCTACCTGCCTGGGACTTTTTGACAGACGGGTCAGTCGATCAACAAAACCAAGAAAATTACTGGCTTCGGGCAACCCAGTCGCATTGCTCAATAAGAAAACTACTGGAGTGTCATTCCAGGCTTCGGGCAACCCAGTCGCATTGCTCAAGCGTGATCACGTATTACCCTCGCTTCGCATGTGAGACGTCTTTGGCCCAGAAATAGCCAAGGATATCTGTTTCTGATGAGTCCTAGCGGGGGGCACAACTCGAGTCTATTTTTTCCCGGTTTGGTACCAACTCATCAGAATAATTATGTCAGGACTGGAGGACAACTATTCCAACGAGAGTGATGTGAGCGAGAACTATACATACCCCGCGGTCATGCATAAAAAATCCAAAGCAGTATGAGGTTTTTGTGATCAGCTTAGTAGTAGGTTCATCATACTACCGAAGAAATCACGTTACATGTGCTCTATGCCAATCAAAAATTGTGCGTATGCAAAGCCCTAAAGATAAACATTCCTGGAAGGACTAAGGGAGTTTTCTATATGTGTCAGGATTACTATAGTTTACTGTGGTCGTCAAAGGATACTCTTACACACAGAGGGCTCGATCAGAACTATGC